GTCTCGATCTCTTGACCTCGTGATCCACCCGCCTCGGCCTCCCACAGTGCTGGGATTACAGGCTTGAGCCACCGCGCCTGGCCTTGTCAAGCTGTCTTTAGCCTGGTTTAAATGAACATGTGTTTATGAGGCACAAAATATTCAGCATCACACAAAGGACCAAAAAAGGATCAATCTTCTTTGGAACTACCTCAGGTCAGATTTAAGTAGTCAAGGTGAAGAGGGGGCCTCCAGGGGGGCCATTCCCCCTCTATCCCTCACTGAGCTCAGCGCCAATTTTGCCACACAGGTACTAGGTTAGCCTATACTCCAACTACTTCTAAAAATTAAGAGAAAAAAGGTAAAGTTTGTAAAAAGAAATACATATAAATAATGAAAGGTAATATGATACGGTTTGGCTCTGTGTCCCCACCCAAATCTCATCTCAAGTTGTAGTTCCCGAAGTTGGGTAGGGACCTGGTAGAAAGTGACTGGATCATGAAGGCAGATTTCCCCTTTGCTGTTCTGGAGATAGCGAGTGAGTTCTTGCGAGATCTGATGGGTAAAAGTGTGTGTATGGCTACTCTGGACACACTGCCTATGGGTTAGCCCTGCTCTGCAAGGTGCAGTTAAAAAAAAAGTATGGCGGGATGCGGTGGCTCACACCTGTAATCCCAGCACTTTGGGAGGCCGAGGTGGGTGGATCACGAGGTCAGGAGATAGAGACCATCCTGGGTAACACGGTGAAACTTGGTCTCTACTAAAATAAAAAAAAAAAAAAACAAAAAAAACAAATTAGTGAGGCGTAGTGGCATGCGCCTGTAGTCCCAGCTACTTAGGAGGCTGAGGCAGGAGAATTGCTTGAACCCAGGAGGCAGAGGTTGCAGTGAGCCAAGATCACGCACTCCAGCCTGGCAACATAGCAAGACCCCGTCTCAAAAAAAAAAAAAAAAAAGTGTGTGTGGCATTTCCCACTTTGCTCTCTCTCTACCGCTCCGCCATGGTAAGATGTGCTTGCTTCCCCTTCACCTTCTGCCATGATTATAAGTTTCCTGAGGCCTCCTAGCCATGCTTCTTATATAGCCTGTGGAACTGTCAATTAAATTATTGACTTCTTCATAAATTACCCAGTCTCAGGTAGTTCTTTATAACAGTGTGAGAATGGGCTAATGCACAATATTTCATAATAAAATTGGGACTATCACACCGGGGCCAGTAATGTAAGGTATCTGCCAACTTTCCCTATAAAAGGACATGTAAGACCTCTGTCACATATTTGCCTGTTTTCTTTTGTTTTTACAATTCTTCATAAAAACCATTCTTGGCAAGGTGAGGTGACTCACATCTGTAATCTCAGCACTTTGGAAGGCTGATGTGACAGGATCATTTTAGGCCAGGAGTTTGAGACTCGCCTGGGCAACATAGTTGGATACCATCTCTACAAAAAATGTTTAAACATTAGCTGGGCATGGTGGCATGTGCCTGTTGTCCTAGCTACTTTGGGGGCTGAGGTTGAAGGATCGCTTGAGTACGGGAGTTCAAGGCTGCAGTAAGCCATGATTGCATCACTGCATTCCAACCTGGATGACAGAGACCTGGTCTTAAAACAAATAAAAAACATTCCTAGTTCAGGGGCAAAAAGCAAACTGTTTGCCAATCCCTCAGTTAAGGGGTTCCACCAAAATCATAAGCAGCAGATGAAGAATTCTGCCACCACCTCATGCTCTTCAAGTCAAGGGCAAAATGTATCTGGCTTTAAAAAATTCCCCACAAATCCATCAGGAGAGAGCAAAAACAGAGACTGGGTAAGTGAATCTGCTTCAGGCTTCTCCAGAAAGCCTGGCAATGACATGGGCTGAGTATCTCTGAGCACCTTGGGAGTTCACAGCCAGGCATGAGGACATGCTGCAATGATGTCCCTTTCAATTTAATTTTTTTTTTTTTTTTTGAGATGGAGTTTCCCTCTTGTTGCCCAGGCTGGAGTACAATGGTGCAATCTTTGCTCACTGAAGCCTCCACCTCTCAGGTTCAAGCGATTCTCCTGCCTCAGCCTTCTGAGGAGCTGGGATTACAGATGCACGCTACCACACCCACTAATTTATATATTTTTGTAGAGATGGGGTTACACCATGTTGGACAGGCTGGTCTCCAACTCCTGACCCCCAGGTGATCTGCCCATGTTGGCCTTCCAAAGTGCTGGGATTACAGGTGTGAGCCACTGCAACCAGCCTTAAGTAATTTACTATGATTTTTAGAGACAGGGTCGTGCTCTGTCACCCAGGCTGGAATGCAGTGGTGCGATAGTAGCTCAATGAAGCTTTGCACTCCTGGGCTCAAGTAATTCTCCAGCCATGGCCTCCCAAAGTGCTGGGATTACGGACACAAGGCATCCAGCCTAGCCCTTTTTGTAAAAGGAGGTACAAGAGCTCCTTCATGAGCCCCTTTCCAATCATAAAACTTCACCACCCAAAATAGAAAAAATCTGTGAGATACAAGGTGAAGCCCTCACACCCTTGTATTTCTCCACTGGCTCCTAGTCAAGGTGTGAGCTAGTCAAGGTGTGTGCTATGGCGGGGCTCACCTGCAAATCCATCATCTCCATCAACCAATCACTATACAAACAACTCTTTCTTCAAAGACAGTTTTGCTCACTTTGGTGTAGGGCCTTGAAAACACACTGTACATCCTCCACTTATTAATGATTTGTACTATAATGATCTGAGATTTTAATGCTACAGAATTAGCAGTAAAAATAAGATAAAGCCTTAGAATTACATCTCTTTGGTTCCAGAGCCTTACACTTCCATACACAAAAGAAAACAGCACTCAACATGTCATAGTTGAAGTGATTTATATGACCATTAAGAAAGAAAATTAAAAGGAGCATCCCTGCCACCTGGAAGCTGGCCTGGCAATCACAGCAATGCCACACTGTTCTCCTGAGGGACATAAACCACCTTGGAGAACACCAGCCTCAGGCAAGGGCCCTCTGAGACCACGATCAAGTAAGACAGAGCAAACACAAAAAAACAAGGTTATTGCGCAACTCACAAATACCAACAAACACCCGTCTCTCTCAGCTAAAATGAGTGACTGCTGCTTCTTTACCCCATTACTGCTTTAATCTCACTCTAATCTTCACTCCCTAATAGATAAGATTTATTGAGATATACAATCATAAAAATTACCCCCACTTGCTGCCAACATCCAATCTACAGCAAATTCTGCTTCCTTAGACTACCCCTTAAATCATCCAACCAAAGCCCAAATCCTATAAAGGCTCTAACACCTTCTTACTGAGACACTCCCCAGTTCCCCAGGGCGTGTGTTCTCTCTCACTGCAACAATAAATCCACCTTGTTCAACTGCCAAGTGTGTTCCTGGTGGTCTTTGGCTGGAAGGGATTGACAATATCTAACTATTGTCTTCTCTTTACTCCCAACTCCGCATCAGAATACACATACACACCCTGAGAGCTCCGCACTGCATACTGTTAAAGAGAACTACACCAGAGAACCAGGAAGACTAAGATGCAGAGCATTTCTGACACCTGCTGAGAATACTGAACAGCAAACAACATGCTAGATAAGTTCTCTTAAAAGTCCTATAACAAGGCTGGGTACAGTGGCCCATGCCTATAATCTCAGCACTTTGAGAGGCTAAGGCAGGAGGATCATTTGAGGCCAGGAGTTCAAGACCAGCCTGAACAACATGGTGAGACCCCTTCTCTACAAATATTTTTTTAAATACTACAACAATATAAAATGCAGAAAAAGGCAACACTACAAGGCAAATATTCCATCAAAAACAGGCAAGGGATAAGTGACAAAGTATGAGAAAGATAAAAGAATCATTAATATTCCATAATAGTAATAATTTCTAATTAAAATAGTTTATGCTGGCCGAGTGTGCTGGCTCATGCCAGTAATCCCAGCACTTTGGGAAGCTGAGGTGGGTGGATCATCTGAGGTCAGGAGATAGAGACCATCCTGGCTAACATGGTGAAACCTCATCTCTACTAAAAATACAAAAAATTAGCTGGGCGTGGTGGCCTGTAGTCCCAGCTACTCGGGAGGTTGAGGCAGGAGAATCGCTTGAAGTGGAGGTTGCTGTGAGACGAGATCGCACCACTACATTCCAGCCTGGGTGACAGAGTGAGACACTGTCTCAAAAAAAAAAAAAAAAAGTTTATACTGCTTACACTATATGTTTAAGTAATTACTTTAACAAGATTACAGGGAAAAGGTAGAGTTGGTAATGGAACAAAGATCCTTTCAAATAAAACAATTTCAGTTATTTCTTTTTAAATAGAAAGGTCTTAACTTTCAGATGTCCTTCTACCTAATGAAATGACCAAGTAGACACTATCTCTGTAACAAAACAGAAGCCTAGGCAAAGCTAATATTTAGCATTCACTAATTCTAGGTCCAGAAATGCCCTTTGCTTTTCAAAGTAAGTGATAATGCATTTCACATAAAACATTAAGTCTACTGCATACCTAATCCTTTTATTTCCCAAATGAAGGCAATGTAAAAAGATTCTGTATTTTTCAAGATAACTAGAAGGCTTTAAGCACCCAAGACTCCCTGATTTCAGGGAAGTGAAATTCTGTTAATTATTAGCTCTTCTATCATTGATGTGTTTCACAGAAGGAAAACCCCTGAGCCTGTGTCTTCTTCAGATGACTGGAAGTATCACTCCAGCAGGCCCTTGGGCAAAGGGGCTACACAGCCTTCCTGGGAAACATGCACAGTTCTGTTGTGCATTCCTAGTCACATGAAGACAAAAGACCTGGGCATTTGCTTCCTCTCAGTGCGTCTGGCACTGTGGGTGATGTTACCAAGAAGTTCTGGCACTCAGAGGCCTCTTACGAGGGCACACTAAACACAGCTTTTGCTAAAGCTTTTGGAATTAAGTTGATGACATTTTGCCATGAGTTTAGTGACACTTGTTCAATATTTAATGTAACAAAGCCGTTAAAGTGAGATAAGATTCCTTTCTAACAATCCCATCGGGTTTACCTTTCAGAGCTACCACCTTAGAGCCTGGGTTCATGATGGCACTCTCTGCAGAGACAGGCCGTCGGATCGGAGCCATTGGGTCGTTCATGTCAATGATCACGACTTGTGCCTGCTCGCCAACTTTCTCTCGGACACATATGAACTTGTCAGATTCCATGGTCAGTGTGCTGAATCCAATGTTGGCTGGATTAATTCCAAGGTTTTGGAGCTAAACAGAAAAAAGGCATTTGATTAATCGTTTTTCCTCTGAAATGGATGGACTCTAGCCAAAAGCAAAGGAAGAGGAGTAAAAGTTAAAATTTAGAAAAAAGTTAACATTAGGTAAATACTTGAACCAAACATTAGCTTGCTTTTCTATACCTTTAATAGATCCACCCAAGCCTGTGAATCAACTCTCAAGGCTATTACCAAACCACAGTGAAGACATGTGCAGGAACACCAGGCAGTGTCAAGGATGCCGCAAGTGATATAGACAGGAAGAGATGAGTTGGGGGTGAACTCCCAAAGGACGCCATCAGATAAGGTGTCACATATAAGCCCACCACTGAGGAGAGCTTTGGGAGGAAGGAGGCCTTGGAGAGGTGAAGGCGAGGGAAGTGGAAGGGAAAGGGAGAAAACACAAAACCTGGTTTCTCCAAAAGGCAAGAAAAAAGAACTGGCTGAAAGTTTTTGCTTAAATATTTCCCTAGATCTCATCAAATCTGTCTAAATCTCATTTGAATGAATTTCTAAGTCAGTGTGAATACTTCTCGGAGAGTCTGGGGTTAATAAGAAAGTCAGCAGGCTTGGCACATCTTCCAAGGCCGACGGATTGCTTCTACTGTGTAAGCTGAAACCAGGCGCCTTTCTCCAAAGGCCATCTTATATACAGTGCCTGGGCTAAATCAAGACCTGTTAATGGGATAAGCATCAATGAAAAACCCTGGGAAACACATATTCAAGGAATGTTTATCACTCCTATAAGGCACCAAGCTTATTTCTATAAACTTCCCTGTTCTGACCTACAAGACACCTTTTTTTTTTTTTTTTTTGAGACAGAGTTTTGCTCTTGTTGCCCAGGCTGGAGTGCAATAGCACAATCTCGGCTCACTGCAACCTCCTCCTACTGGGTTCAAGCGATTCTCCTGCCTCAGCCTCCCGATTAGCTGAGATTACAGGCACCTGCCACTATGCCCGGCTAGACAACTTTATTTTTAAACACTGTTCTGTTCAGCCCCAATTCTACTGCTACTGATGTGACCATTTAACATCTGCTACCTTGTGTAACCTTGAAGAGGCTCACACTGGCAACAGAGATCATGGACTACTGCGTTAAAATCACCACCACCCTTTGGAAGGAACGCAAGTGAGACTGTTCATACTGCAAGTATAACTCAGGACTGTGCCTTATTTGTCTTTTGTAGCGGAGTCTAGCACATGCTGGATGTTCCAGCTGCTGAGCGGAGCAGGCTGCAGGACAACGGGTCACCTCATCTCATCTTCCTGTTAGCCCACTGAGGCAGGCATCCCACACACACTTTCCACTTGGGAAAAACCAAGTTGGGGTTAAAAAATCTTTCTGAAGTTACAAAGCTGATTAATGATGGAGCCAGGTGTAATAAAGCCTGTGTTCTGACCACAATACTGAGTTGTTTGAAATTCATATTCCATTTTAACACAGAAAAGATAAACGAAGTGGTGATTATGTTCCCATATGAGTTCACCAAAACAAACACAAGGACATATAACAGCAAAAAACAAAACATACTTCATAGCTGTAGTGAAATAATTTTTTAAAAATAGAATCTGCCGATTGATATTGCCATTACTACAAGAAAGTCCCTTCATGTTCCAACCTTGGGTTACAGCAAAGAAAATAATGCTAGCAGTGGTTTATAAAGGATAGGAAAAACCAAAGTATTTTTCCTGTTCTCACACATCACTTCTAACACGAGATGTGTGGGGGTTTCTCCAGCAGACACCGCCTGGATATCCTGCAATTTAATTCAATTCTGACGATATCTACCTGGAGACAGCCTCAGATCCCACAGGTTGAGGCCTCAGTCTCTTAAGATTGTCTCCACTTCAGACGCTAATCCCAAGCCCAGACTGTGGCCTTTACTTCTGACCATCCGGCTATAAAACAGGGTTCCCTTGACCTGCTTCCTGGATTTGACTAATTTGTTGGACTAGCTAACAGAACTCAAGGGAACATGTTTCTCATTTATTACAAAGGATACAGATGAACTGCCAGATGGAAGAGGTACATAAAGCAAGGAGCCAGAGGTATCCTTGCCTTTTCCAGCACACCGCTCCTCAGGAACCTCCGTGTGTTCAGCCATCATGGGGCTCCTAACATCTAGCTATACATCAACACCACGCTATTTTATTTATTGAGGTTTGTAACATTTGGTAGGGCCTGCCATCCTCAGACTTGTTACTTTTAGAATTTTCTTAGGTATTATATTGTTTAACTTTTTAAGTCTAAAAAAAATTCAAGCCAAAAAATAAGAATATGGGGGTCATCTATTGCAGGAAAAGTCATGAGACTGGATGGAATCACCAAGAGAGACTGTGAAATGTGAGCGGATGGCCTGGGATCCCAGGGCACAGAGCCCCAGGATACACCAAGGCTTAGAAGGGAAGCAGGTGAGCAGCCCATGAAGAAGGACATGATTAACTTAAGTTAACCTACTTAAGTAAACCAAGAATGAGAAATAACAGAAGCCCCACAAGTGTAACCACTGAGAGCTAGTAAACCAAGAAACCACATTATCACAACCAAAGAAAACCTCCCAGTCTTACCAACTTTCTCACAAATGAGCCATGTTCAAATTCCATCGTCCTCTCCCTAGCTTAGTCCCCTGCTGGCTTATACAACAACATCCAAGGTCATAAATTACTGGAGGGCAAGGGTTGGATTAGTGTTATTTACTCTGTCACACAAAAACCAGTCACAACAAAAGGACAAATATGCAATTAATAGAAAAATCCTGAAAAACAGAATAATATAAATGCCCTAGAAAAATTACAATATTTACTTGTTTATTTATTTATTTCGAGACAGTTTTGCTGCAATGCCCAGGCTGGAGTGCAATGGTGTGATCTTGACTCACTGCAACCCCCACTTCCCAAGATCAAGTGACTCTCCTGCCTCAGCCTCCCGAGTAGCTGGGACTACAGGCATGCACCACCACATCCAGCTAATTTTTGTATTTTTTAGTAGAGACAGAGTTGCACCGTATTGGCCAGGCTGGTCTCCAATTCCTGACCTCAAGTAATCCGCCCACCTCAGCCTCCCAAAGTGCTAGGATTTATAATATTTATTAATCAAACAGAGGACGGTGGGATTCCAGAAGATAAGACTGCTGCATTTGAGGTTCTCCCTCCAAATTCCACAACATTACCCATCAGGTTTGTGAGCCCTTTGAAAAGAAAAACATGAATACCTGCAGTCAATATGGGCTCACTAAGAAGTCATGCCAAACCAATCTAATTTTCTTGAAGCCAAGTAAATGTGGTAGAATAAATCTTAATTTCCGCAAAGTATCTGGCTTAGCTCTGCTGAGGTGGCCTAAGTAACTTTCACGGGTAATCAGTCCCCTACTCCAGGCCTTTTATCTGTGGCATGCTTATAGAATAGAGAGCTTTGCTTTGTATTAGTTATTCATATTTACTTACTCTCTTGTTTCTTCTCAGAGTCAAATTCAGGTTCTCCTCATTTTGAATCCATCTGAATATTTAGCACATAAAAGCCCAAACAATGTATGAAACAAAAGACTCTTGGAATGAGATGGAAAAGCATGAAGTGAGCGTGTGTCCGGTGCTGAACCACACCTCATTGGTGATGGCCACAAGGATCACTGTCTGTGATCCAGGCCCCAGGGCTCTGACCTTCAATCATCTGCTAGTCAATATTCTGAGTAATTACTCTAATCAAAGTCATATACAGGGACTGTTTTATCTGCTAAGGGTATGCTTGAAGACTGTCCGTATACTAGAGTAACAATATGAATTTAACAAATTTGAAAGGACTATGAAATTAAAAAGATAAATGTACACAAATAAAATGTTTGTGTTAAATATCAAAAAATAAGATCCAAGCTTCCTTCAAAAAGCAGCTCTAATACATAAAATGTCAACCAAATGCAATGCATAGGCCTTCTTTGGATGCTATTTCAAACAAACCAAACACTGACAAGATATTGGGTGATGTTGAGAAATTACTGATTTTTTTTTAGGTGTGACGTTATTAGAGTTAAAAAATAAAGAATTCTGGCCGGGCGCGGTGGCTCAAGCCTGTAATCCCAGCACTTTGGGAGGCCGAGGCGGGTGGATCACGAGGTCAAGAGATCGAGACCATCCTGGTCAACATGGTGAAACCCCGTCTCTACTAAAAATACAAAAAATTAGCTGGGCATGGTGGTGCATGCCTGTAATCCCAGCTACTCAGGAGGCTGAGGCAGGAGAATTGCCTGAACCCAGGAGGCGGAGGTTGCGGTGAGCCGAGATCGCGCCATTGCACTCCAGCCTGGGTAAAATGAGTGAAACCCCCTCTCAAAAAAAAAAAAAAAAAAAAAAAAAAAGAATTCTTAGTGTGTAACAACGGATGAAGAGATAAGCAAAATGTTTTATACACATGCAAAAGGATTTACTCTTCAGCCTTTAAAAGGAAGGAAATCCTGACACATGCTACAACATGAATGAACCTTGAGGTCATTACGCTAAGTGAAAAAAGCCAAGGTCTGGCACAGTGGCTCACACCTGTAATCCCAGCACTTTGGGAGGCCAAGGCAGATGGGTCACTTGAGGTCAAGAATTCGAGACCAGCCTGGTCAACATGGTGAAACCCTGCCTCTACTAAAAATACAAAAGTTAGCCTGGCACAGTGGCAGGTGCCTGTAATCTTGGCTACTCAGGAGGCAGAGGCAGGAAAATCACCTGAACCCAGGAGATGGAGATTGCAGTGAGCTGACGTTGTGCTACTGTACTCCAGCCTGGGCAACAAAGTGAGACTCCATCTAAAAAAAACCAAAAAAACCAGTCACACAAAAAGACAAATATCAAATATCATATGATTCCATTTATATCCAGTATGTAGAATAGTCAAATCTATAGAGACAAAAAGTAGATGGGGTTAGGGAGAGGAGTGAATGGGGAGTCATTTTTTAACAAGTATGGAGCATCCGTTTTACAAGATGAAAAGAGTTCTGGAGATGGCCGGTGGTG